CTATGTAATTTCTCTCTGAGTTTTGATAAAACTGTTTTTAGTAAAAGAAATAAATTTACACTACTTACATAAAATAATCAAAGCACTGAAAGTACTGTTGGAAGGAAATTTTCATAGAAATTCCCAATGCGTGGGAATTAAAAACAAAGGAATATGTGCAAGCTTCAATCTACAGCTAGCTGATTTGATGACTAAAATGTGACGTCATTGTTTCTCTTTTTGCACTACTCATGTTCAGTGGGCTGATAACTAGTTCTTGGCCCAGGGCCCCAAACCCATAAGTTGTGACACTCATAATCAGTTGAAATCATAGGCAATTCTGTTACTAATATAGTAATAAGTGAATTAATAGATAATACTACTGCATTATGAACACAAAGAACCACTCAGTTTGACCTAAATCGGCCATGACTTATATAACTACTTCATAGGAATTCAAGACCATGCCATAAGCATTATTTAATCATAGTTAATGAAGAGACTTTTTATTTTAAACTCAAGGACAAGAAAAGCTCATCATGTGCTTACATTTGTAAGTTCAAACATAACTAATTGTGTTTTAGTATGAAATTGATGTACATGCTGTTAAAGTCATAGCAAAACAAAGAACAATGATTTAAAATAAACTTTTATTGTCAAAACTTGCATAAAAGTAAAAATATATGTGATATAAAAAATAAATGATTAAATATATGGAGATAATGAAATTTAGTTTGTCAGATAAAATGTGTAAAAGGAACTCCACTGAGGTTTTTTGACATGATGAGACTGAAATTTATTTTTCTAGATTAATGTACCACTTGATGTATGTTTTGACCACTAATCTTTGAGAAAAATTTCAGATCATTTGCGCACTTCGTTTTTCAAGAATAATTATTCAAATTGTAAAAAAATGACCCAAAATGAAAGCGTTTAAACACATTTCACGCAGATCAGGCTGAGAAAAGCATAAAAAATCGATTTTCAATTTATTTCAAAGTATATTTCTTCACTATCTGTGCATATATTTCTGTATCAAGTGCCCCGGCTCATTTCTGTAGAAATTCAAATGTTATGTTTTAGGCTTTTAAACCTCAATGGAGTGAGTCCCTTTAAATTATTGGTACATATTGAGGTGACACAAGTTATAACAATCTGAATGAAAGAAGCTTTAATGCAAACGGCCAGTGGTATAGGAGGTGCTGTTTTAAGGATTTTTTACATACAAGACTGACATTATACAACAAAATATAGTCAAAAGTAGAAATGTGCCCATAGAACTTGAATGCCTGCGTTAAGAACAATGCTTATATTGAGTGGGTAATCAAAATATGTACATAATTAGACAAGCCCATTGGCAGCATATCGAGCCTGTTGCCTTTATTCAGAACTGAACCTTAAAGCTTCAGATTGGGGAGAAAGATGTATACATAAGTGAACATTTGTGATAAATGTTATGAAAATCCAGCCATGTATATAGAAATATACTCTCATGTTTTAATTTATTATTTGACTTTTGATCCAAAGTAGTGACCTTGATCTTTGCAACAGACACCTGATTTTTCATACTACACTCCAACTCACTAAAGACTGTTAAATTTTGTCCAGAGTTATATGAAAAATCTTTATAGATTTCAAAAGCATTCAAATATTATCAGTTATAAATCATTTTTTTGCATATGATTTGGTAAGGAAGGCATAATGTTGTATAAATTTTGTGGAATGTAACTGAAATCATACTTGACCTGTGTTTTGATATATTGTTGAATATACCAATTATAAATTGAATCCTTAAAAGGTGTACAAATCTTATTGGTTGGAAACTAAAATTTCAGTGGAAATTTCACATACTGACCGGACTGACAGACAGGGTAACACTTAATGCCCTGTCACCATTCTTTAAATGGCATGGGCATATAAACTTAGAACAGGTTAGCTTACAAGAGCATTTCTGTTTTCATATTTTACTAGATAAAGTACAAAGAAATGATATTGTTATATGAGCCATCACATCAAACCGTGATCAATGTAATATGAAGTATGGGAAAATAAGTAACAAGAAGTGCATGTTTAACTAAAACAGAATGTATGATTCAGAGGAACACTGTAAAAATAAAGTAAATAATGTTGGCAATAAAAGGCAAAAAAAAAAAAACAACAAAAAAAACATTAAACAAGAGGGCCATGATGGCCCTGGATCGCTCACCTGACACAACCGCATCCAAGCAATGTCTTAAACAAGCATCATGACCAAGTTTGATGCGACTGAGTCAAACATGTGACCTATAGTGTGTTATAAAGATTTTTCCATATTTGGGCAATGTGACCTAATTTTTGACTGGACACAACCCATATTCAAACTTGACCTAGAAATCATCAAAACAACCTTCCTGACCAATTTCCAGGAAATTTGGATCAAAACTGCAGCCACTAGAGTGTTAAAATTTTTTTCTATTTTTAGCTCCTGTGACCTAGTTTTTGACCGGACATGACCAATCTTAGTACTTGACCCAGAAAACATCAAAACAACATTCTTGACAAATTTCCAGAATATTTGAATCAAAACTGCAGCCACTAGAGTGTAAACAAGCTTTTTCTATTTTTAACTCCTGTGACCTAGTTTTTGACCTGAGATGACCCATCTTCGAACTTGACCTAGAAATCATCAAAACAACCTTCCTGACAAATTTACAGAATATTTGAATCAATACTGCAGCCACTAGAGTGTTAACAAGCTTTTTCTATGTTTAGCTCCTGTGACCTAGTTTTTGACCGGAGATAACCCATCTTCGAACTTGACCTAGAAATCATCAAAACAAAATTCCTGACAAATTTCAAGAATATTTGGATGAAAACTGCAGCCCCTAATGTGTTAACAAGCTTTTCTATTTTTAGCTCCTGTGACCTAGTTTTTGACCTGAGATGACCCATCCTCGAACTTGACCTAGAAATCATCAAAACAACCTTTCTGTCAAATTTCCAGAATGTTTGGATGAAAACTGCAACCATTAGAGTGTTAACAAGCTTTTTCTATTTTTAGCTCCTGTGACCTAGTTTTTGACCAGACATGACCCATCTTCGAACTTGACCTAGAAATCATTAAAACAACCTTCCTGACAAATTTCCAGAATATTTTAATCAAAACTGCAGCCACTAGATTGTTAACAAGCTTTTTCTATTTTTAGCTCCTGTGACCTAGTTTTTGACCCGAGATAGCCCATCTTCGAACTTGACCTGAAAATCATCAAAACAACCTTCCTGACAAATTTCAAAAATATTTGAATGAAAACTGCAGCCCCTAGAGTGTTAACAAGCTTTTTCTATTTTTAGCACCTGTGACCTAGTTTTTTACCGGATATGACCCGTCTTCGAACTTGATTTAGATATCATCAAAACAACATTCTTGACAAATTTCCAGAATATTTAGATGAAAACTGCAGCCACTAGAGTGTTAACAAGCTTTTTTCTATTTTTAGCTCCTGTGACCTAGTTTTTGACCGGACATGACCCATCTTCCAACTTGACCTAGATATCATCAAAACAACCTTCCTGACAAATTTCCAGAATATTTGGATGAAAACTGCAGCCACTAGAGTGTTAACAAACTTTTTCTATTTTTAGCTCCTGTGACCTAGTTTTTGACCTGAGATGACCCATCTTCGAACTTGACCTAGATATTATCTAAGCAACCTTCCTGACAAATTTCCAGAATATTTAGATGAAAACTGCAGCCCCTAGAGTGTTAACAAGCTTTTTCTATTTTTAGCTCCTGTGACCTAGTTTTTGACCGGAGATGACCCATCTTCGAACTTGACCTAGATATCATCAAAACAACCTTCCTGACAAATTTCCAAAATATTTGGATCAAAACTGCAGCCACTAGAGTGTTAACAAGCTTTTTCTATTTTTAGCTCCTGTGACCTAGTTTTTGACCCGACATGATCCATCTTCAAACTTGACCTAGATATCATCTAAACAACCTTCCTGACAAATTTTCCGAATATTTGGATGAAAACTGTAGCCACTAGAGTGTTAACAAGCTTTTTCTATTTTTAGCTCCTGTGACCTAGTTTTTGACCGGAGATGACCCATCTTCGAACTTGACTTAGAAACCATCAAAACAACCTTCCTGACAAATTTCCAGAATATTTGTATGAAAACTGCAGCCTATAGAGTGTTAACAAGCTTTTTCTATTTTTAGCTCCTGTGACCTAGTTTTTGACCGGAGATGACCCATCTTCGAACTTGACCTAGATATCATCAAAACAACCTTCCTGACAAATTTCCAGAATATTTGGATGAAAACTGCAGCCACTAGAGTGTTAACAAGCTTTTTCTATTTTTAGCTCCTGTGACCTAGTTTTTGACCGGAGATGACCCATCTTCGAACTTGACCTAGATATCATCAAAACAACCTTCCTGACAAATTTCCAGAATATTTGGATGAAAACTGCAGCCTCTAGAGTGTTAACAAGCTTTTTCTATTTTTAGCTCCTGTGACCTAGTTTTTGACCCGAGATAACCCATCTTCGAACTCGATCTGTATTTCATTAAGACAAACATTCTGACAAAGTTTGATGATGATCCAATCAAAACTGTGACTGCTAGACTGTTAACAACCCAATTCGTCACCTTAATTCCAGAGTCATATAACTCGATTTTTTTTGTTTTGAGGAAAACGTTTTTAAAGATTGAAATGTCACCAGAACTCACATAAATTTACAGATTTTTATGATTTTTTGTATACTCTTTTGTTTTTATATAGACTCACATTATCCCAAATATCAAGTAAATTCAAAATAAAACAAATTGAAAAATGCATAAAACATATTTCAAAATTTCCTTTTATTTTACTTTTTCTATGAATAAATTTAATTCCAGAGTCAGCTCCGAACTTAGCTGCATTTGGCTCTAAAATTTATGTCAACATTTATTGATATATGACTTTGGAACTTAAATCTTTTGTCTTCGGGACAATGTAAACTGGATTTCGGATGGTAACATAAATCAGAATATTCATGATATACAAATTTTATTATTTTGAACTGAACACTTAACTGCCATCAAACTAAATGTACATTTTCTTACGCAAATCCGATTTACAAAAGATAATGTTTTCTTAAACAATTTACAGGCTTGAAACATCTATGATTAATATGACAACCACTATAATTATAAATCAAAACAGTTTGATTATGACAATGATTGTCTACCGCAAATGCAAGCTAGTAAAACATTGTACTTAACATGATGTAACTTTAGCGCAATTTACAGATACTGTGCCAAAGTGACTATTACATCTTTTACAATAGCAGTATAGGTATTTTTGCTATTGATTACTATAAAATCATTAAAAACAATACCACTTAAATGCTTTGCTGTAGTACATCATTACTTAACATAAAATATTGCAATAACAATATCAACTTCGACATATCATTTTTTCAAAACCTGAATTAAATTTCTGAACTTTTAACACACAAAAACAGTCAATTAAAATAAAACAATAAACTGTTTATAACATGAGAACAATTTTCAGGGAAAAAACTGAACTATTGTGATACTGTCAATTTTGTATTCTCTTTTTTAAGTTATTATCAAGCCTTTAGCCATATAATACTGGCTATCAATTTGGCTCATATATTTGAGCATACTAGTTAAGTCTTTCTTTTTCAGACTGCTTATTACCGGTTTCTTATGACTTGAAACTGGTAATGGAATTGGTAAAGATAAGCACTGTCGGGCGTTGCGAGTCGCTGATCCAGTCAATATTACCCCATGTCCAAATTCTTGTTCAGTAAACGACAATTTAAAACTTATACCCATTTTATCGTTTCGTGAGTATTTTAAGCATTTGACCTTTGTGTATGGTACACTTCCAAAATTTAAAGTATTTGTGACTTTTTGATAGTCATAAAAGTGAGGAGGTCGCATTTGTATCACTTTAAATGGTCCTTTCCGTCGTGCATCGATTGATTTTAAAACTCGAACCAATGACACTGGACTGAAGACCTCGGAACATTTCAGGGCTTTTTCTATGTTGCTATGTGCATTATCCACTTCCTGGATCGCTGAATGACCTGGACAGCCAAATTTTTGTGTGATTGAATGTATGTTATGCGTATTCATAAAAGTCTTAAGTGCAAAAGTCATTATCGAATTACGATTCTGAGGTACACAAGCGTCCGACCAAAGGATGTAGTTCTTGATTCCAGGATGAACTGAATTAATTTCATGCAAAATGTTTACAAGAGCACTTGCTATTTCATTTCCGCCTCTTCCAGCGTCTGCCTCTGTCCATATCGCGTTATAAACAGCTTTGTCAACTGAACAATGTGCAGTGAGATTATAGGTATTTAACTTACGTTTATAGAAGAAGTTTGATATATCAGCTCTTGGTAAGGCAATAACATTTTCAAGGTCAAAGCAGATTGTTGCTGTTGTTGGGTCATCTAGATTTCTATCAGTGTCTCGTTCTGTTTTTGTGTCACCCTTGTCAGATTTATGCTTCTCAAATTTAGCTCTAGTTTGCTCATTCACTGTTTCTTTGTTTTTAGCTTTCGTTTCAATTTCCTCACATAAATCACACCTGTCCTTTTTAGGAATGTGAAATGAAAGATTAAAATCTTTGTTAAAGATATCTCTGTACTTTGAAAACTTTACTGGGTTACGATCACATTTAGCACATTCTGCTTTATATAATTCATACATCTTTGTCCTATTCAGATTACTTTCAAGGTACTCCTTAATGCTTTTACTTCTGCAGTAATGTGAAGGAACTTTATTGAAGGATCGAATATGTTCTCTTACAAACTCAATATCGTTTTCAGAAATCCTAGATGTAGTGTTCCGACCACGCATATCTTTTAGTTCTGTTTTCTTGTCAAGTTTTTCATAGTACTTTCTTACACGAGAGATGTTAATACCCAAAACTCCTCTGTAGAAGTCTTGACATACACGTATCTTTTCAGAACCTTTCCTGAAAAAATATTGAAATGTATACTTTCTCCTGGATTTACTATCATTCTTTGTATTTTCTTCTTTAGAGGTATTGTTACCTGCTGTTCTTTTCTTATTTCCTTTTGTACCTTTCAATATCCTTTCTGTAGTCTCAGCGTAAAACAACATCTTTGTGTCATCATCATGGGACCAGAACTCTGAGTGTATATTATCTGTGTCCTCATTACTGAAACTCCATGAACATGCATATCTGCATTTACCTTTACAATCTTTGTGATTCTGTTTCAACTTTTTTGCCATGAGTGTTCCTCTAGAACTTATGTACTCCAATCCAGCTTGCCGCCTGCGTTTCCTGATATTCTTCTTCCAGGAATCAATCTGTTTAGTTCTTGATCTACTTCGTTTAGGAGAAAGAGTGGGTATATCTCCTTCCCTTTCTAATATTATGTCTTTATCTGGAGTTGTTTTATCATCATGATTATTATTCACATCGACATGTTCATTTTGAGTCGGTAGTGTTTCTTCAGATTCCTCTATGTAGTTCAGGTTGGCAACTTCATTGTAGTTTATGTTTGCAACTAATGTATTACTTTCTTCAGTTGCTGATGTCTTAGTCATATCATCTTCCTTTGTTTCACAAACATCTGTAGCCTGGTTAAATTTGGCCTGTTCAATGTTTATCAGTGTTTCGTCGCATGTTGCATTACTTTCTTCTAGACTTTGACATGCTTTCTTAAACTCAGCTGCATCTTCTGCATAAATTTCAATTTCAACGAAATCATTTGGGTTGAAAGAAGTGTCAGAAAAAACAGGTATGTTGTTATTTGATTCATCAAATGATTGTACTGCCTCTGTAGGTACTTCTGTCATTTCAGCATTTTGAAAATTATCATAAATCTCATTTCCGTCATCATAGTCATCAAGCATTGACAGAACCTCGTGAATGTTCAGTCTACTCATTTTGTTTTTAACGATAGAAATGCTCACACTTTTATATGTGTTATAAGTTAAATGTATAACTTCATTTCAGGTAAATATGGAACTGTGTGTCAATGAAGTAATCAATTATCTGGTGGTTAAAGTCTTGTGTCTCGATATCCGCTTTTAAAGACAAACTAAAGGAAAGCAGGCTACCAAATATTGGGGAAACAATCGTTTTGCACTCGTGAATATCAAACTCTACACCACATGCGTCTAAAACTATGACCTGTTTTCCAGTTATAATTTCACTTAAAGTTTTAGGTTTTATGTCTGTAAATGATACATATATTTGGTCTAGTTCCTTACAATCACGAAGGACAAGGAAATCCTCATCACGTAAATTGTAACATCCTGTTAAATTCACAATCTGCAAATTTGGTATATACTTTATAAAGCTTAATGTTGAAATCGGAACGTCAGTTAGGCAGATCCAGTATAAGTGTCTAGCTGGTACAAATCTAGTTAAGAATATGAAATCAATATCTGGAGCAGGACAGTTGATAACAGAGCCTTGTGGTAAAAGAAAATAGGTAAAACTCGCTGCATGATTCAGTATCTCACATAAATCACCATATTTCACATTAAGTTCCCAATCAAACTCAAAATGACGCCACAGAGAAGATTTGGTCTTGATTAGATCATTCAGTCTTTTGCACGTCCTATTTACATAGGTCAGAAGATCCTGTAAGGGGATGTAGCTTAAAACCACCACTAGGACATCATCAGGAAGGCTGATAAAATTTAATGTTGACCTGAAAACAAAAAACACAAGTCAAAGATATTAATTGTTTCTGTATTGCCTATTCGAAACAGACAACAGGACAGGAAATTGTATTCAATAGTTTAAGTTCAAAAACTTAAAAATATGCAAGTAGATCAGAGAAATCTGCATGTACAATGTTAAACAGGTATAACCATAGGTAAACAGATAGAAAAAAAAGTACAACATTGTTTTGATTTGTTTATACTAATTATTGAAATAAGTAAAACAGATCCGAATTTAATACCATCCGAAAATGTGTTCAAAAGACATACGGAATTTACTACCAGAACAAGTTAAAAATTTTACTTTAATCTGTCTTTTATGTAAAATTTATTTATCAAGTATACATAGTTTTGAAAAAGAACTACTTACATAGCAAAGAAATCCTAAAAACACTTATAACAATAACGAAAACGTTTTACATTTTCCATTTTCTGTTGTTTTGTATTTAATCACGTGGTATAAATGCGGTTACTTCATTGGCAGGCGAGTTATTTGCTTGTGGATCTTACTGGAACTCAAAACCGCCAAGTTAGATGTTTGTGGAACAGTACATTACCCTCTTTACATTAGAGCTACAAACATATATGTTAGTGCATATTGTAGAGCTTTTCAAAACGAATCCAACGATACCAAACACGCCATATTTTCAAAAAATCAAGTTAGACGCTTCTGGAATTAAGGTCACGAATTATTAGAGTGTTAACAAGCTTTTTCTATTTTTAGCTCCTGTGACCTAGTTTTTGACCGGAGATGACCCATCTTCGAACTTGACCTAGATATCATTAAAACAACCTTCCTGACAAATTTCCAGAATGTTTGGATGAAAACTGCAGCCTCTAGAGTGTTAACAAGGTTTTTCTATTTTTAGCTCCTGTGACCTAGTTTTTGACCCGAGATAACCCATCTTCGAACTCGACCTGTATTTCATTGAGATAAACATTCTGACAAAGTTTGATGATGATCCAATCAAAACTGTGACTGCTAGACTGTTAACAACCCAATTGTTGACGACGCACGACGCACGACGACGGACGCCGGACATAGCCCCATCACTATACCTCACCTTGACCACTTTGTGGTCAGGGGAGCTAAAAAGTTGACCATCATTTGGACTTTCATGAGTTGGCCATGCTAATCTTAGAATAAGAACATAAATAAAATACAACATTATACAAAAGGTAGTACAAAAAATACAATGATCAAAAGTTTGAAAGTGAACACTTGTTGGTAAAATAAACAAGAATTTGTAACAGAGATACCAACGTCCCCCGCCTCAGGGAAGTTTTATATGAAGCAAAAAATTGTGCTATTTCAAAAGATTGAGGCAGGGATCTAAGGATTTTCAGTCCAAAATTATGATCAATGCTAGATCTGCAAATGCAACAATAAATTTATTAAAGAAATAAAATGAAATACTGAATTTCAAAATCTATCATGTTAAGCTTTGCAGGGATTTTTTGGCTTATTTTATAGCCGTTATTGGGACATATTCCCAATTGAAAATAGTATATTATTTTCCCAATCCACAGGAAAATATTCCCAATTGAAAGTTACAAAAATATAAATATTGAATAAAGAATTCTAAAATCTTTGAAAATAAGGGCTTCTTCACTGTAATAGTGTTTAAATGTTTGAAGAAGCCATCCTAGGCAGTGATTGCTTGCATACATTTAATCACTGCAAAATTTCAGTCATGCATTTTTTCCCAATTTTTAACAAAATATCGCTGAAATTCCCAGTTCCATGGGTATGGGTTATGTTCCCAAAATCCTGGAAAAAATCCCTGCTTTGACCTCTAAGTGTGACCTTGACCTTGGAGGTAGGGGTGCAGGTGTTGTGCATGACATATCATCTTATCATTGTGACTATTTGTGCCAAGTATTTTCAAAATCCCTTCATCTATGAAGAAGTTATGGACGGGGCATAAAATATACCATATAACAGACTTTGTTACCTTTATACCTCTAAGTGTGACCTTGACCTTGGAGGCAGGGGTGCAGGTGTTGTAATTGACATATCGTCTATATTGCGACTATTTGTGCCAAGTTATTTAAAAATCCCTTGAACTATGAAGAAGTTCTACATTGGACACAATATATACCCTTTAAAAGACTATGTTAATTTTTTACCTCGAAATGTGACCCTGACCTTGGAGGTAGGGATGCAGGTGTTGCGCATGACACATTGTCTTATTATAGTGAATATTTGTGCCAAGTGTTTTCAAAATCCTTTGATATACGAAAAAGTTATGGACCGGACAAAAAATACCCTATAACAGGCTATGTTAATCTTAGACCTCAAAGTGTGACCTTGACTTGTAGGTTGGTGACCGATTGTTGCGCATGACACATCATCTCATTGTTGTGAACAATTGTGGCCAAGTATTTACAAAATCCCTTCAAAGATAAGAAAGGTATAGACTGGACACGAGATATACCCTCAAATAGACAATGTTGACCCTTGAATGAGCAAGTGTGACCTTGGACCATGGAGGTAGGGGTCTGGTTGTTGCGCATCATCGTCTTATTATAACAAACATTTGTGCCAAGTTATTTCAAATTCCTTCAATAAATGACAAAGTTATGGACCGGACACGAAATATACCCTGTAACAGGCTATGTTAATATTTGACCTCGAAGTGTGACCTTGACCTTGGAGGCAGGTGACCTGTTGTTGAGCATGACACATCTTCTCATTATTGTGAGCAATTGTGGCAAGTATTTACAAAATCCCTTTAGAGATAGGAAAGTTATAGACTGGACACGAGATATACTCTCAAATAGACAATGTTGACCTTGAATGAGCAAGTGCGACCTTGACCCTGGAGGTAGGGGTCTGGTTGTTGCACATGACTCATTGTCTTATTATAACAATCATTTGTGCCAAGTTATTTCAAATTCCTTCAATAAAAGCTTGAAGTTGATAAAGATTTGTTCATACATATTTCAACAAGAGGGCCATGTGTATATAGGCCCCTGGAGAGGGGCCAGTTTAAACCCCAGGGCTTTTATTTGACCAAACTTGTAAGACACCCATTAGAAGATGTTTCATGATGTTAAGTTTTTACTACACACATATAATGTAAAACAAAGACCTCTGCACCACCCCCCACCCTGGCATGGTCAATTTTTATCCAAGGGCTTAAATTTGAACAAACTTGGTAGACACCATAAGAAGATGTTTCATGCTAAACATCTAGGCTCTAGCTCATTGGGTTTTTTAAAAGAAGATTTTTTAAGTTTTTACTATACACAAATAGTGAAAAAACAATGAAACCCCTGGGGCGGGGCCAGTTTTGACCCCGGGGCTTTTATTTGAACAAACTTTGTACACACTTACCAGAAGATGTTTCTTGCTTAATATCTTTAACTCTAAGCTATTTGGGTTTTTTTTCAAAGAAGGTTTTTAAGTTTTTGCTATACACATATAAGGGGGAAAATCAATGACTCCGGGGCGGGCCAATTTTGACCCCAGGGCTTTTATTTGAAACAACTTTGTAGACACTTACCAGAAGATGTTTTCATGCTTAATTATCTAAATCTAGCTATTCTGGTTCTTTAAAAGAAGAGTTTTTTAAGGGTTTTTTACTATATGCATATAGGGAAAATTCCAATGACCCCCTCGGGCGGGGCCAATTTTGACCCCAGGGCTTTTATTTGAACAAACTTGGTAGACACTCACTAGAAGATTTTATACCAAATGTCTAAGCTCCCAGGCTTTTTGGGTTCTTTTAAAAAGAGGCTACTTTGTTATTAAGCCTTTCTAGCTATTTGGGGTTCTTTTAAAGAAGAATACCTTTAAGTGTTTTTTCTTTTTAGTTTGCCATGGCAAACCAGCGTTCTGCATGAAATTAAATTCTAAAATGAACAATATATTAAAGGTGACCACCAAAGGGAATATTCCTGTTGAAGTTTGGGATGAAATTGGCTTAGTGGTTTATGAGGAGATGGTCATTTAAAAAGTAAAAGTTTACGGGGACGGACGCCGGACGAAAAAGCGATCAAAAAAGCTCCACCCTGTCACTTTGTGACAGGTTAGGAACTAAAAATAGTTTAAGTTGATCTTATTTTCCTGGTGAAAAAAAAAAAAAAAAAAAAAAAAAAAAAGAAAAAGTTGGTGTGTGATGTGGCTCAATAAAAAAAAAAAAAAAACAACATAAAAAAAAAAAAAAAAAAAAAAAAAAAAAAAAAAAAAAAAAAAAAAAAAAAAAAAAAAAAAAAAAAAGAAAAAATAACAAAAAAAAAAAAAAAAAAAAAATATAACAAAAAAGAAAAAAAACAAAAAAAAACAAAAAAAAAAAAATCACAAAAAAAAAAAAAAAAAAAAAAAAAAAAAAAAAAAAAAAAAAAAACAAAAAAAAAAAAAAAAAAAAAAAAAAAAAAAAAAAAAAAAAAATATTGGCTCATAAAGTTGATATACTTATTATGATTTCAAATATTGGAAAAGTTATCTCTAGTTCTTGGTGAAAGACTGGTGACTAGTTTTTCTCCTCAATGTCATTTTCTTTTTCTAATTGTAGATTAAGTCATGGTACTATATTTATGCAGGCTTTCGGAATTCACCATCTAAGAACTCATTATCCAACATTGGCAAAAAAAAAGGGCAGGGCCAAAAGTCTCCTGGTATTCCCCCAAATTTTCTTTTTAAGTTTTTATAAAACCATAATATTTCTATTTCTTTAGTGTTTCCGACATGAAGACACATCTTACATGTTTCTCTTTATCACTCCTGCTTTTACTGTTCTATTCATATAAGCGCCTCTGTTTCCTTGAAATATTTTGTTTAGAAAAAAGTTAAATTGCAAAATTAAAATTCCACTATTTTTTTTTTCGGGGGGGGGGGGAGGGGGGGGGGGAAAACTTGTAAACCCTTGCTGAGCTAGAACTTACAGCAGTGAAAGGCTTTAAAGGTTTTAAGTCAAGAAACCTAAACCAATCAGTTCACAGACACCCAAGTATTTTATCTATTTGCTAAGCAGCATTTTTTTCAAAAATTATTTAAATTCAATAATGTGAGTGATTCTGATAAGCTATAGACAGCTAAGTGATGATAAGATGATCATATATGTCAGATATGTCGGAGTTGCTAACACTGCTTACTGTGAATATTCAATATTTTAAAATGTGAATTGTCCTGAGGTTGAAAAGCCGTTAGGAAAAAGGAAAGCTGAATTCCTAAATACATGTTACATGTCAATTGTTCTTGCTATTAATTTTGTTTCCTAATTTTCTTGTATTAAGATGATATTTAAATACAACTGTAATTCTTTTTTTATAAATTTGGCTTTTTTAGTGACAATAGTCTATCCAGTGACCGAAGCTCACTGACTTAAAAAATAAACTGTCTTATGTCAGCCTTTTAAACAAGTCAAGAAAAAAAAAGCTATTAGAATATAATAAATTAAGAAATTATCAAATACAAATACTTCTAAATAACATTCTGTACCTCTTCCTTAAAATTGCCCATGCTATTGAAAGAAACATTTTTTTTCCATTTATTCACTT